CTGAATTATTCTAGCCATCGCGAACTTAGATATACCCGCACAAATCTGGCCCATTTTATACCCTACTTTCATATTGTAATGCTTTTCGTACTGCTTAAATGATTTTGCGAGAGAAACAAATTCCTCTAAAACGAGTGCACGACTGTTTCAACACTTATCACGGAGTGAAATCAGCCATTATTTCGTTCGGTTTCAGCACAAGACGAGTGATCTAGAAATACTTCTCTTTCCGGTTGAGTTGAAAAAAATCCGTAACCTCCGAGGTGGACGAGTGATGGAGTCGTGCGGGGCGACACTTCACTCGAATTCGGAGACACATTTTTGCCCGCTTGGGCCTTTAGCGTTCTTGAACAGCACACATTGAAAGTTGAGTATGTTTCGCGAATAGCGGTGAATGCTGAGAGTTTCATTCGAAATGAAAAGTGCTCTCACCTGAAAGATTGATTGCTCACGTGTTGCTGGATGTCTAATTAAGTGATTGGTAATTCATTATTCTGATACTAAGTTGGGTGTACTTCTACTTTTATAATGATTATCTGAAACGATGAAGCATGTTCTGTTCTGTATAGAGAACGATATACAAGATTATATTTTGCGTTTTATTGCAATGAATTAACAGAACTCCTGAATTGATGGCTGTACTTTGATATAAATTAAGGTGGGTAGATGGGTCTGCGTTGCATTGAGATTAGCTGTTTTATTTAATTTATTTTAAAAAAAACAGCCTGAATTTTAATTGGTTGGCCGTTTTGCTCCAGACTTCTGTAACCTCTTGCAGAAGCTTATATTTAGAAAAAGAACAAGGATGCCGATGTGAATATTAGTAACCTTCAACAGTACATTAATTATCCTTTGCTGATTCTCTAGATCACGATATGATCATCATAAGATGTATCAGTATTTTATATTGTTAGTATTGTCAGTTAAAAATCTCAACAAAATTAATGTATCCCAAGACTCTATAGTCTTCTGCTAAATTGAAATTAACATGATGTTACCTGGGTTCCCAAAGAAGTAAGATGAAACAGGAAACGAAAATTTTATCATATAATATAGATAAATTTACAAATAGAGCACGGTATAGAAATTATTTTCTCTTAAATCCACGCAGAGAAAAGAATTCGATATTGAGGTGAAACATGAATCTGTAGAGTTTCGCTGTGTCGTGGAGACGGTACAAAGCTACGCTCCAAGTAAATTTATTTCAGGGCATTTAAAAACGAGTGGATTCACTCACAGTGATAATCGGCGAATGTCATATAACTGGCTCGGGAAGGATGGGTGAACAATATCAGACCTCTATTCGAGTTGAATTCCACTCCAAGAACGTACAAGAGCAGTATCTAATCATCAATAAGGTCATTGGAAATACTATCTGGTCTGGTAGTCTATTTGCATAACCAGCGAAGCGAGATTATGTCAAATTTTCCTCACGTGATCAGAATCTACATCTCAGTTGTTCATGGCCCTGAGTCCCTACCTCTCCCTACTACGCAGCCTCGTAGAAATTCTTCTCCTGCAGAATTAGTTTTGGACCTGGCTTCGATCCCAAGCCATATACGCTAGCCTCATAGAGGACTTTGCGATGAATCGCCATGTTATCACGCGCCACCACGCCCACGCACGCACGCTATCGACTCGCATCTTAGCACGGTTGCGTCTATGCGGAAATTAAGGACGAATGGCGATAGACGCAGCAACTGACGCGTTTGCGGAGAACAATGAAGGGCCAGCCGCGGTCACGCGACTGTTTTTGTGCAACGCTTCTTTTTGTTCGTCAGACCATGCAGCACCAAAGGACAAGTGCGACGCAAGAATTGCAGCAGTCAGCCCGTCGCATGTTTTATTTACGTCTGGAACGCGTACGTGCATGCGAGGAAAGAACTCGGGCGGTAAAGTTGTGTCGAGGTAAATGAATGGGGGTTGGATGATTTACCTTTATAATATGTGAGAATGCAGAATAATTCCCCAGACTAACACAGCACACGAGCTCTCCCAGAGAAGGAAAATGAATATATATATACAACACGTATTTCATATAAAAAAACATTCCACCAGCATAGGTTTAATTTTTTTCATGGAGAGCTTTAAACTTCTCCGTGATCAGATATGACATAAAACTTCGATAGTATTATACAATTTACTGTGTATTGATTATTCGGGAACGTACCAATAGGTGCACGAACATCTGGCGCATTACCCGTCCTTGTTGTTATTATTATTTATTATTATTATTATTATTATTTATATTAATATGGTGTAATAGGCATTACTACCAGTACCCGACTTTAGCTAACACGATTAAACGATGTGAATTCTTCCCACGGATCAGACTTTTCAGCTGTATCTTTTGATTACAACAGGGTTGTTACGGCCTTGAAGTGCGATATTATATGGATTAAATAATGACGAGGGAAACCACGATACCTCGGTCAGGATGCCGGACTGGGAATCCGAAACGCGACCTCCCGACTTACGAAGTAGCGCGCTAAGCACTGAGCCACCTAGCAGACTCGTATTCCACTTATTATTACTATTACTATTAATTACTATTATTAATTACTTATTATTCAGATGATTGCAATTATTCTTCATTAAGGGGATTTTAGTTATTCATTTATTATTATATCGTTTGAATATTAATTAACCTGCCAACATCCTCTGAAAGCTTACAGTGTTATTTGGAGGCACATTTCTTCGCCAACTCAACAAGCCAACAAAAATTACAGGTTTCTGCTTCGGAACATGTTTTGGCACTTAAAAACTTTTATTTGGTTGGAGTTCAAAAAGTTAAAAAAAAACAAAAAAAACCTGGGGTTTTAAAGAAAAAAAATTTAAAAAATGTGTGATTGATAAAATTGAACAGTTTGAACCCTAGCAAAAGTTGTAAGCAATACGTACGTTGTTGCGGATACAGTAGTGTTAGCGGCAATCAATAATACTTATTTTTCTCTGTCAATTCCACCATCATTCACTTTAAATTAATGTCGATTATACATTTTTTCACACACAATTTCCAGTACGCGGCAATGGCTGGAATTTCTCTCGATAGGAGTTTGAATATATAAAGGCAAATACCCACGAAAAAATACACAAAAATTGTAGATATGCCGGAGAGTTATGTCCTACAAATTTTATAAAATTTTACTGCTTCTTTCCTAACTTCTAAACTTATAGGCTATATAAATTAAAATGTATGTTCTCTTAAAATGATATTTATAAACAAGTGAATTTAGGCATAACTAATAGTCCCACCAATCCGATCAATTAAATCATTTGGTAAAACAGTAAAGAAATTAAAAATGAAATACCAGTAAGTATGGTTGGGCACATTTTTTATCAAGTTCGTAAAAAACTTCTGGAAGAAATGAAATGAAGGTCATGTTGATAGATGATGTAATGATCAAATTGAGACCGCGAAAGAATAGTGTAGCAAAAAAATATTCCAATGTAGGAGACACGGGAAAAAATTAGAATGGATTTTATGTGTTGAAAAATACTGCAAAAAATAGATATAACACATTTATAAAGGTTAGATTACAAGAACGTTTGTTCAAGAATGAGAGGCAAGAAATAACATGTGTTGAATTTCGTAAAGGGGTTTTCCGTTGTGGGAAGAAACAGGAGAATGTTAAACCAGGCGGCCGGACCGGACTTTATCATCACATTTCCAAACCGATTACAGGGGCAAGGTCCAAGGATGGAGGCTACAGAAGGGAGGAATACGTCAATAAAGGGAGAGTGCGGAGGGAAAACGAGGTGGCGTGAATGAAGCAAGAAAACGTGAAGATAAAAAGAGGAGTCACCCGGGTGACCGGACGAGCACAGCCCCGACGCATCATGACTGTCCCGCGGGGGCCGGGGACATAACGAGCAGGGAGGAACGCGACGGAAGAGGGCATAGAAGCGACGGCGTCATCGGGCAGCGGGTTCGTGCGAATGAGCCGTATAGCACAGCGACCGACGCTGTCGCCCGCCTGCTGGGGCAGGGCGCCTTGCTCCACCCCCGCCCAGCCCATCCTTCTACCCCGGCGCCGCCATACCCGTCCGCCTCGCCTGCCCGCTTCCCTTTCGCCCAGCTCCGCTCCGCTTCCCGCCCACCCGCCCTGCTCGATATCGCCCGACCCATCGGCGCCCATCCGCCCATCCGCCCATCCGCCCCATCCCGCTCCATCCGCCATCCGCCCGATCGCGTGCCAGGTCCGCCCATCCCGCCCATGCCCGCCCCCATCCCACCCATCGCCATCCCACTCCACACCCTGTCCTTCTCACGGCACGCCCGCCCGCCCCACCCTACCGCTTGCTCACTCTGCCCACCCTAAATCCCTGCTGCGTTTGCGCCCGCTCCCATCGCCCAAACGCAGCCTCCGCTTGCTCCGCGCTTGCGCTCAGCCCGCCTTGCTCCAGCACGCCTTGCTCCAGCCGCTTGCTCAGCCCGCCTTGCTCCAGCGCCTTGCTCCAGCCCCGCTTGCTCCATGCCCGCCCCAGACACCCCGCTCGCTGCCAGCCCCGCTCCGTTTCGCCGACCACTCCGCTCCACCCCACTCCGCTCCACCCTCGCTCCAGGGCCCCACCGCTCTCACCCCCACTTCCATCACTACGCTCCGCCTCCCCGTCCGCCCACCCCGCTCGCCCTCCCGCTTTCTTGCTCCTCTTCCCCACCTAGCTCCACTGGCCGCCTCATATACCGTCCGCTTCTCCAACTCTCCGCTCTGGCGGCGGCGCGGGGCGGGGCAGACCGCTGAAGGGGTGTGGGCGGACCGTGGGACGGGGGCCAGATGGCACAGGGAATGGGGCGCGGGCGTTGGGGCGGTGCGTTGCGGGTGGCGGGGGGCGGGAGCGTGCGGGTGCGTTGCGGGGGGCGTGGCGGGGGGGAGCGGGGGTTGGGGCGGGGGGGCGGGGTTGCGGCCGGGGAGCGGCCAGGAGCGTCAGGCCGCGCCGAAGCGCATGCGCAGCAGCCCAGCGTGCGGGGAGGGGAGCGTGACGGGGCGTGAACTCACCGAGGGGCACGACGCCTGCGAGGATGCTGAAGATGCCGCTGGCGGCGAGCGTGCCGAAGGCGAGCCAGCGCCGCCCCCAGCGGTCGAGCGTGAGCGTGAGCAGCGTGTCGGCCGGCAGCTCGGCGGCGCACGCCACCGTGAACGTCAGGAACACGTCCAGCCCCAGCGCCGTCACGTTGCGCACGTGCCCGTCGAAGCTGATGGAGATGCACCCCCTGCAACGCAACCCGCACCGCCCTCGTTAGCTCCACGTCAGATGGCGACCACTTTGATTGTTGTACTGTAGAGGGAACACGTCATGTCCACACGAACATCCTGTCCGAGTCGGGATTCGAACCCGCGACCCTTCGAGCCGAGGCAGCCTTAGCGACCTCGATTATCCAGGCCGGTAGCTGGACGTTTGATTTCATTTGTTTTCGTTTAAAAATGGTAAACACCATGTGCGACGTATGAAGATGAGGTATCATCTTGTGCTCAAGAATCTCTACCTACTATGTTATTAAACACAGATGAATTCTGAATAAAATTACAAACAAAGCGAGGTTAAAAACATTTGAAAACTAAACATTTTCGCTCGCGAGTTATGGACAACAGAAGACTTGAAGTAAAAAAAGGATGTAAGTGCCATTTCTGTTAAATTTACGTTTTCATCAGAATAATAGTTTAAGACATATAACAAATAAGAATCAAGTTCCAGACGCATTTTATAAATATAAACTCATTTTTCTCGAATTATGAAAACGGCACTTATATCTTTCTTTTTTTATTTCAGCCTTCTATTTATAAGCATCGCCAAACCAATTTCAGATTTCATTCGATAGTTTTGCAAACAAAATAGCAACCCACACCCTCAGCTCTACTCCTACCACAACTAGCAAAAGGAGAGCTCAACAAAACGTGCGCACAGTGAAGCTATATTGATGACTAGAAGCAAAACAAAGGGCTATCCCATTATTTACTAGGCTGTCCGGGTGATGCCGCGTCCATGGCGAAGGTGCCGACGTGCCAGAATGGCGACCGAACCGTCGGCACCTTTGCCATGGACGCGGCATCACCCGGACAGCCTAGTAAATACTGACTCCGGCCGCGGAAGCCTACGCTCTCTGAGAATTGAACATTTAGCATTGTACAGAAAAAGAGCCTAACTGGCTACTCGCTGGTGTTGCTTCGACATTTGGCTCATAAATATCCACAAAACATGATTTTAATTCATTAGTTAATTAAATGAACATTATTTGAACATTTTAATAGACTAAGATATTAGTTACGTCATAATAGAAACCTATTAGTGACAATACACAATTATTATTTATTTTTTGGGAATATTTAGATTTCAAAAAGCGGTTGTTTAAAATTTAAAACTACAAAGAACTCACCAAATAATAATCATAAGCAGTGTAAATCTTCTCAATCTAGGCGTTCGGAAAAGATCCAAAACTGAATAAGTTTTATCCTGCAGTTCATCTTCCATTTGAAGTTTTTTGACACAGTCCTACAAAATAAAAACGTTTATTAAATCAGCTGTAAAAATATCAATAAAATTACGTAATAAAATAACATAACTTCAGTAATATGATAAAATTGTTAGAGAACCCCAGCACCTGCGATACGTACCTCTCATACGACTCAATATCTCCAGAAATATAATACATATAATAAAAGTTTTACTTTATAGTTTTAAACCTGAAGAGTTATATGAAAGAACATATCTAGTACTTCAGCACAACTTCAACTTCACTGAAGCCTGACAACGTTGGGTCTCTTATCAATCTTCCGTTCCTAAATGCTCCGTGATCCGAAGCAGAGTAATTCATTGGTCCAAGCAGCGATCTTTCACGGAGTACTGCGTTTTCACGTTTGTGACATGTGCATCAAGAGTCGTTTTATTCTCCAGCTCAATGATCCTACCAGCAGTAATTGATTTCATAAATCATTTGAGAGATTATTATAGATGGGAAGAACCAAAGTTTTGTAATGGTCTAGGTGAATGGAAAAATAATATTTTACTAATATGGAAATTCAGATGATGTATTGTTGACGTCATCACATATCATACAAAATACAAAAAATAAAAGGATGCCATCTCCGTCAACACAGTATATTTAAGAGAAACGTCAACATGGTATGTTTATTAAGACACCACGTGTCCCATTCCCTCTGGGCATTCCCTCTATCTTCCGACGTTTCCCACTACAGCGAGGTAAGCAAGTCGGCTCAACTTTAACAGATAAGCAATCGGCTTCAATTTTTCCCACTTTATGTAATATCATTTGCTATTGCTTCCAATTATTATTACTATCCCCTTTCTTTTGTTTTATCTTTTCAAATTTCATAATGTATATTTCTTTATTTACATTTAATATTTTGTAATTTGAATTTCTAGAAGTTTGTAATAATTAGAATTTTAAATGTATCTATTATTAATATTAATCTCCCCTTTTGAATTTTATATTTGTAATCTCATTTTCTACTGGTCTCTATATTAATGCCATCCCTTGCATTTCATACTTTGTAATTTAATTGTTTAAATTATTATAAATTTAAATGTATCAATTATGTATATTAATTCCCCCACTTTGTCTTATTTTGTATTTACTTGCTATTTTATTTACATTCTATTTTGTTTATGTTTGTGGAGTGATGATGACGGCAAAGCCGTCGAAAGTCGGCTCTCTTAATAAACATACTACATACTATGTTGATGGAAACAAAATCTTTTATTTCTTCATAATATTTTGCCAGTATTTTAGGCAGATGTTGCTTGCTCAAGTGAAATGCATTCCCGAATCCTGCTTTCAAAAGATTTGGAAGTTCATACCAATTTCCATTTAATAACTAAACGCGTAAAAATGTCAAAAAACGAGCATATCCGAGTGGTTAAATGAACTTTAAAAATAATAACTTCAATATAATAATATATTCAATGTAATATATTTCAATTTATTGGCTTCAATAAATAACTTCAATAGAATAATCATGGCGGATCTATTATTTAAATGATCAAATATCTTACTCTGACTGCTGTCGCACTGTCTACAGAAAGACTCATTAAAATAAGATTGTATTCCTTTCCATTATATTTCTTTAAACTAATTATCTTTTAATCCTATTTTATTAATTTAAAATTTCGCTCAATAGTTGAGCAACTTTTGACTCTACATGTTACTAGTATCATATGTAAAGTTTATTTTAATTACTTTACGTATAAAGACCACAATATGGCTCGAGGCCAAGTCCAAAAACATTAACGTTTTGTCTGAGATCTATACAACGGTTTCTTGTACAAAGATAAGACAAGACGTATCTGCACTCAACGTTTATAATTGATTACAACACATTATTACACACACATTGATTAATATATTGTCAAAAGTTCCATTGTTCAGCATAGGGTTCGTGGTTTTCAATGCATTATCATAGCACCAGCTTCCCCGACTCTGAGAAAAAGGATTTTGGATTGAGCACCTAGCGATGTATGCAATGTTTGTTCATCTGTAGGCCCTACGTTTTCAATAGTCACTTGTTATTCACAATCAGGACACGGACTTCTTCAATACTGGGATCATTTTGTGTCATGCTGGCCATCTTCCTCTTTTTCCATTCTGCACGCTTGTTTGACTGTTTCTCAATGGTTCAATCGTCTGGTAATCCATCTACTTCACCAAGTAAAAACATTGCATCCACATTGTGCTGGAAATCTAAGGAGTTCAGCTTTGGGTACACATTCAGGTTACAAAAACGGAGTACGAAGGCCTGTCCTTTTTTGGTGCAACGGAGAGAGGTGCAGCCACGTTTAGGTTGAAACTCATGCGAACAATAAGTGACAAAGCTGTAACTTACCAGAAACAAAGCCAACGAAGTCATTTTAAGAATGGTAAGTGCAAAAACCTATACAGTCAACCTACAGACGATTATAACGAAAGTGTGTATTGACTTACCCTGTACATTTTTACCTCTCAAGGTAGCGATATTCGTACCGCAATGGAGCGAGAGTACAAGTGTTTTTCTGACGAACTGACCTACGTACTTCAATTAATATAGGAAATAAAAACTTGGTATCATAACCATTGTGGTTCATTGGTACCTTAGGTTAACGTTTTTACTGCACTAGATAAAGGAAAAATAAACTTTTCGGCCAATTTATAGCTCCGAAAATAGCTGGGGTACCCAAGAAACAAAATTCTACAACTTTGGGTCTATTTTATTTTCCTTCATACGCTTTCTTTCTTTTTGGTTTTAGAGATAAAATATTTAATTTTTTCCAATATGTTTATAAATAATTGCCAAAAATTCAGGTTTTTACTTCAATTATCTAATCATAACTCTTCACATTGATACATTTTGATAATTTTTTTTAATAATTCACAACTGAATTATGTAGTTAATGAACTACAATGGTAAAGATATTGTCAAAAAAGTCAGGAAAAAAATAGTTGCTGAATTTTGTCTGGACAGTACTGCAGGGAAGTACATCTGAAGTTTACTCACTAAGCGTTTGACAATTGACACTCGCTTCGAAAAAAAATATTTTCTCAAAACCAAAGAATCTTAGCAAGCTATGGTTTGAAGCATTTAAAAGAAAATAAAACGGAGCATAAGACTCAATAAAAATTAACGAAATTTCACGATTTTTCATCACTCTTGGGTAGAACTACATTAAGAAGAGACAGAGAGAAAACTACGTAAGGAAGAAAATGTAGCATATGAATGCATTTGTTTACTTTGTCATTTCATATGAATCTAATATACTTACTTTAAATTCTTCGTAAACAGCAGGATCGACTTTCTTTCCGTTCACTTTTTCAAACTTTTTCATAATTGTAATAGCTTCATCTACTCTGCCTTGAGACACCAGCCACCTGCAAAAATAACGTTTTGGTGTTGTAAAGAAGGTTGATAAAATGTAATTTTTATTCGGCCTTTGTAAAAAAACAATAATTACATTGAAATAAATCTTCAAATATAACTTAGACATACATTACAAAGTAAGATACGAATATTCTACTAAGAATTCCTTTGTTGAAATTTGCCGAAATGAATCAGAATGTTATAATGTAAAATGGAAGTATAATTATGAATAATCTCTTAATGAAAATAGCTTCTGACATAGGTATTTTTGTTCTGAAACTTATTTAAAAAAAGTTAGGTGTACCTTGCACTTTCGGGAACAACAAATGGTGCAAATAGCACAATTCCCAGAGGAGCTGAAGTGGCGATACATAAAAGTCTCCAATCAGCTATCCAATATGCAATCCAAGGCAGCATACAAGTGGCAATGGTGAAGTAGATGGCGATGGACATGTTGGCCACAAATGTTCTCCATTTTAGTCCAACGTATTCCAAAACTGAAACAAACATTAAGATAGTGAACAATCTGTATACTATTGGTGAGGAACCCCTTAATTTGAATATAACAACAAACTAGAATCTAGCGTGAATTAAAGACTCAGAAACTATGCTAAATGCTTAATAATAGTTAGGTGCTTTTATTTGTCTGTATAAATTTTAAGACAGTGCGTTTTGCCTTACTCACGTGAGATTTTGATAGAGATTCAGATATTTATAGAAATTTGCAAATTTAAATTTTTCATGATCAAGAATCTATTGTTTTAATCGTGATGTTTTTCTTCAAGAAGTTCACTTAGAGTTCAAAACCGTAAGCTCATACAATGATCAAAGGCATTCACACGCAATATACATATTGTAACGCAAAGAGAGCGCTCTCGCAATTATATAATTAAATCATTTGAAATGACAAGAATGTTTGGTATTGGTCTCTATTCACAGAATCACCTCGCGTTTCTTAGGAACTTTTTCGGTACATTTGAGGGCAATGCATTTAGCACGAAAACACGTTCATTTAATTCACTAACGCGGTGGCACCGAGGCCAGTGCAGTAAGTCGTGACTGAAAAAGAGAGAGTTCTTAAAAACAAGGTTCACGTTCCCGAGCGGCACTGCTCACAGGAAAATGTTTTTGTTTCCTGTTTCGCAATTGAGGGATAACTGTCTCGGTGAGATACGATTGCAAATGCGGTAATAAATTATCTCATGTCTATTTATACTTCAATGAAAAGAATAAAATTAAAGAGTTTCCTATTAGGCTATAAGGCAGTCTATTCAAAACAGTTAAAGAAAAGCAAACGTGATTTTATATGCTTTACAAAGTGTTTTTTGTTAATGAAGTTTACAATTGCAATTGCAATTTCGAGGAAGATATCCGCGGTGATTTGAACAGAATGCCTTCTGTGTGGGCGACCTTTTAATAAAGCTAGTTGCACTGGCCGTAAAAATGTTGGATAAACATTTATTTCACTGGACGCAAAAATAATTTAAATAATAATATTAATAAATAACGATAATAATAGTGATGTCCGAAAGGTAGGTTTATTGTAAATATTGTTTGATTCATTTATCACACTCTTTTTTCGTGTTCACCCACCTGAGACATTAAGGCAATTTTAAATTTTATTTTTATCACTGAAAAGTGTTTATTTCTGGCAATCGGCAAACATTCAAGATTCAATCTTTACAGCGAATAAAAGACTGTTCCCGAAAATTCTTAATTACGAACGATGTATAAACGAAGAAGATTTCCCATCACCATGCTCCATTAGCACACTCTTCTGTTTCCCATATCCCTTTTTCACGCCTCTTACGTTTCATGAGGACAATCATTCCCATAGGTGTGTGTGTGTGTGTTTGAGTTACTCAGTTACCACTACAGACCAACGATCTTGATAACTCTCAAAAGGTCAGCCATTAGAAATCGAAGCTGACCGAATTACACTCCACACATCTGCGTCTTGCAGACAAATGTATTGAAGCAAAAACGTCGACCAGCCAAGACTTCGAATGCTCTCGGAAACGATCAAAAGAAAGAGGGAAGTACATGACTCAAGACGGTCAATGGGCCATACAAGATACCTAGCAATAAAAAGTATCAATAAATACATTATAGAGCAATAAAAACTATTTGTTTTCCATTAACTTCTGAACAAGATCTCTCTTGCAGTCTAAATAGGATGCTACACCATTGTGTACCTCTTAATTCCGATAAGAGATCTCATGAGCCCTGGCGCGACTTTCTATAACTTTGGATATGAAATGAGTGTTAGTGTGATTTGGAGTGACAATAAGGGAGTGAAACTAAACTATTTCACGCGTGAAGACAGAGTCGGGAGGTTGAAGGACGTGCCGCCACGGACTAACGAGGAACAAGCGGTAGGAGTAAGGCTTACGAGTCACATATCTACATGTCATGTCATTACATGTCTACTTCTAATGCCCAGCGATTGAAATGAACTAATGAAAATTCATATATGTATATGATTTTATTGAATGTCCCATGAAATTATTTAATGTTAGGAAGTAATGAGTTATTTACGTGCAGTCTGACAGAACCATTTTTACAGTCTTCCGTACGTGAATTATCATAAAAACTTTATTACTGAGACTTCAATTCGAAGCAAAACATCCCTTTACCCCATCACCACTCTTCTCTGATAGGAATTTTATTTCATTAATCACCCACTATATATCAGGTATCGTAACGCAAGAAACAAATGTCTCATAAACCCATTAGTATATCTTGAATGACTGAGTAAAACAATTTTAGTTTACTCCGAAAAATCTTTCAAAGCGTAAGAGTGGCAAGATTAGTATGGCAATTATAATCATAAGAACCTAAAGAAGAATGAAAAAATGAACAGAACAGGTTGGAAATAATCACGAAACGATTGTTTTCAGTTTCAGTGCGTTCGCATACGTGTTTTAGAACATTTGAAATTTGTAACGGGAGATGGTATCTCGCTAGAAATTTACTTACGTTGACATAAAACAAGCGGATTCAAAACATTAGCCGTTTTCTGGCGCACGATTACATAACTTCCTCTTCTTACGAAGTATTCGTAAGGCGAGAAAGTAAAAAGTAGCAAATAATCTTGTGAAATCTTGGGCCTATGTTATTGCACTCGAAGTGTCTAAGACTTCTGTTACCGTCTTGCTGAATTATCTTCGCTACTCAGCATTAGTAGGTCGTTTTTCGTCCCTTGCTTCATAATCGCAGGGAAACCTCAAAATCTGATGCACGGGATTCTTAATTCCTTAAATTCTATTTTTCTTCCTCTTTTCTATATACACAATAGGGTGTAGTATCTAACCTCGTCGCGTCGAAGGTTGTGAGGACAACGTTGACTGACCGAGTCGTGGTGCGACTGTGACTCGCAAGTGGCGGGGGTACTCACCGAGGATGTACATCATGGTGAAGCAGTTGTCGAAGGCGAGGCCGAGCACGAAGCGGCACACGCAGAACTGCCAGAAGTTGGTGACGAAGTAGGTGGCGAGGCCGGCCACGAAGCCGATCATGTTGGTGCCGACGAGCGCCGGTACGCGACCGTAGCGGTCCGCGATCCACCCGAACACCAGCCCGCCGACCATGGAGCCGCAGAAGAAGAGCGCCTGCGCCACCGTCGGCAGCACGTTGTCCTCGCACACCCACTCGTACTGCGCACACACCGCCCGACACGCTCAGAGGGGCGCGCACACGCGCACACCAGCGCGGGCGCTGCCCTTGTCTGGACGGGGTTGGACTGGACGGGGCTGGATGGGGCTAGACTGGACGCCGTTAGACTGGACGGAACGGGAATGAACGAGGTTGCTCTGAATTGATTCGAATTGAACGTAACACTTGCACATTTATTGTGTTGATAACTCTTTCCTATTATTATTATTATTATTATTATTATTATTATTATTATTATTATTACTATTATTATATATTAGCTACCACAATTATTATTAAAATTACTATTATGATTTTCCCAAGTTGATGGCGTAAGTGACAGTTTCATGATTCACATAAACTTATTTACAAGTTATTCCCTCGTGTGTATATGATGAGAAATACAATAATAACAATAAGAAAATGAACAAAAAAACATCAACGTTCTTTTATTGGAAAGTGAATTAAAAATTTTAAGTTCTCTAAGGTACTGAAAAATTTTTTTAAAAGAACAAAGAAAGAATTTATGAACAATTGAAGTAAAATATGATATTAAATTTCACTATTGTATAATTATTAGTGCAAGAAAAACTAAATGAGACTTGTTTTTCACATGAAACCTTAAATTCTTTGAGAAAAAAATAGTTTTGTAGAACCTCTCGTAAACGGGTAGTTTTAACTATTGAGTATATTTTAAGAATTGTATAAATAAAAAATGTACTATAGAGTGTACTTTCTAAACGATTTCTAACAGTTTTGACATTGTGGTTCAAGTAAAATTTGTTAAAATTTGTTGTTAAAATTTAAATAATTATGTGCGAGCATGTAATATTTTGCAACCGGTATTGTCTTTTAATGTTAAGTAGATTTTAATGTGAAAATGAAGTCAATAAAAACTATCCAATTTGAGAAACAATATGCTTTTATTTTTTCAAATCCATGTCAGTTTCAGTCAGAATGGGTCTCTTTCTACTCTTATTTGAAATATTAATGCACAGAAAGGTCAGACAGAATGCAACCCATGTGGTAGCAGAAAACTAATCGTAAAAAAGAAAAATAGAATTGTGAAACTTTCCCTGGTCATTGGAATCAAATCTTCTGTGAAATTACATACACTGACTTCACGAGGTACTTGCACAAGATTACAGCTCTTACAAAATTTGTCTTGCACCCACTGAACCTTTGTGTCATGAGAGAGAAATCACATTAACCACACGAGAAGTCGTGCTAGACTACACTAGAAGTCACTGGAAATTCGTGTTATGCTTGAATCATGCAACTCGGAACTCACATTAGTTACAAGCCAATTGCAATAGGAATCTGGAATGGAAAGCTTATGTTTGAAAAAGGACACGTACACAAGAGTTTTCACGTCCTCTTAGTAACTTTGAAGAAATCTACTACTTTTCTTGTACAGCGGCACGAAAATAAAATATAAGTAATTCATGTATTACGTAATGACAGTGTTTGCATTACGAAATTGCTGAGTGAGACCTCAACTCTTGAACCGAAACAAAGAGAGGAAGGGGTTTTAATTATAAATCACTCAAAAATAATTCGTATAATTTTGTCTCAATAGATTTTATTTTGCGTGAATTAATTTGCTAGTGATGTGAAAATTAATAACAAGTTTTGATAAATTCAGTATTTGTCGAAGAGACGATACGTTTGCTGCATCAGAACGAAACGGCTCCTGCAGGTTTTCTTAGAACATACTACTAAATAAAACATGTTTGCTAATTCGATTGCACTGTGTCAAGTTCACGAGTTAAGTAACGAAATTAGCTGGTATGCTCGACGGAAAGTCTGAAAAAAACACGTCTGAATGGGTACAGACCTAAACCTATGACACAAATCTGCTTCATACGCTTTGAACAGCTTGAGCATAATTAAATATCGAATAATTAATTCAATATTTTTAAGTTTTCCCTCATTCAAATATTGTCCTTTTGAGTTCTGCCTGCTGGACTTCTGACATAGGTGAGACATTTGCCTCCTACCACGTGTTGCTTGCTACAAAATAGACACATTTACTTAATCACAGTAAAGTTTGCCATTTCCCTGCAGTATTAATGCAAGAAAAATGAAAATATAGTGAAAAAATGATGTACAATGTTTCTAAACATAGATTCGAATTCAAGGTTTCGCGGAGTTATCGAATTTTAAAAGGAAAATTTTGACCTTGTTTTTGTCAGTCTTTCTTTTGTCTCAAAACCAGATGATTCTAAACTATCAATACTATTTAATTTAGTGTCATTTGAGATGCATCTCGTATCCTAATGAATGTTAGGTACATTTTACATTAGATCTCTCTGTATGACATTGATTTCGATATTCTTGGACGCGCAGAAACAGTGTATGTCGCTGTGATGGGAAATCATGAAAACTGCCACAGACCAAAAACTGGCTGCACATACTGGGCTGCAGTGGAGCGAAGCATGACATTTCGTTTGCACGCCTCCACGAGCAGAGAGAGCTTTTTGCGGTCGCTCGCGGTTGTCTCGTAAAAACGCGTTGCCCCCGTCCCGCATAGGCGCTTCAATCGTTTAATGGTCGCTCGTGCACTGTCTTTTTTCATTGTCGCTTTTACTTCAAGGGTCCACCCCCCCCCCCCCCCCCCCGAACACACAGTAGCACTTTTTTAATCCTAAAATTCTCACGTAATTAATACAAAATTCAGTTATTTGAAAATTCAGAGACCTTTAGTTCTAAGATGCCTACTATGAGTTTTAATGAAAAAATACTTCATAAGTACGTTACTTCAATGTATTGTGTAGTTCAACTTACAGACTACTTGACATGAAAAAGGGCGGAGCTGTAAACGACAAAATAATTTAGAGCAGAAATATTATTTTTCGTTTAGAAGTCGCAATGACTCGACGTTTCAGTTATAAAATCAAATAAGTAGTACCTATTCTTTTGGTTGTCACATTTGACTGAATGTTTAATGCAATTACTCTGCATTTAACGTTGATACTTGATGTGTTAGTAAAACCGAATTTTAACAAAATTAGGAAGAAAATTTAATGATTATTGTTTTCCTGTGTTTTGGACATCATGAAGCTAATTGCTTCATCATGCGAACGTAATACGTTTGAAAAAACAATCGTCATCAACGAAAAACGTACGTTTGAGGAAAGTGTTGTGTCTCTGATGTGAAAGAACAGAGAGGACGTTTATTGCGATGCAAACAACAAACATTAAATATCGATAGAAAACATTTTCGCGTTATCATTATTATTATTATTATTATTATTATTATTATTATTATTATTATTATTATTATTATTATCATGATGATGATGGATGCTGATGGCACGTATTCCAATTATTTGCAGCATGTTTAGACGTTATGTAGAGCAGATATTGTCCGCAAATCCTCTGTTTCGCCACCGATGAAGCACGAAACTGGTTTACGGGGCCGAGACTCGTGGCAAACCGGTGCAGCGAGAAAGGCAGAACTGCTGGCATCCACTCACTGGATATCTGACGCCACCCGAGCACTCTCGGCGGCGAGCTCAAGAGGAATGACGTCAGGACATTTGAATAATCTCTTCAGCTACCACCTGACAAGTAAAACGATCAAATTCGCAATTTCTCTCAATGTAATAAACTACTCATGTTTTGTACAATTTAATATTATTTTCATTAAAACAGTATTGATTACTGTTATATTATATTATAAATATTATAAAATTTGGACTAACTTAGTGGTTAGATATCATAGGGTGAAAAATTTTTGTTTATTGTTAAGGAAATGTGTTCCTCAAATACATTGTTTTGCAAAGTGACTTCGTTACATCTTCATCTTTATCACACTACATAATTTATGATGTAGTTATTTTTCGCGTAGCAGGCGTTTAAAAAATCTAATCTGTCTCTTGAGCTGTGTAAATTAGCAAGTGTGTGGAATAAAAAGCTAGTTTCCTGTTTTCAAACCTTCCTTATATTTTATTTTTCTTCCTCTTTTCTACATAATTATTTTTCTTTAAAAACTTATCATTTTATTCAATGCAGATTCTCTTGAAAAAATATTTAGATACAATATATTTTACTTCACATTTTGGATTTTATTATCTGTAAACTCGTAACTACATGGTTCTCCCATGACATTATAGTTATCTCCGTTCTAGTTTCTACATTCTAGTTTCTCAAGTAATATATCTTCAAATGTTAACTATATCACAGATAAAATAATTTTTAAGCATTAGGTTTTATTTTAAAGAACAGTCATTTTGGTTCAAAATTGCAAATCAAACTCAGCAGGCATAGTCATTAATATCCATATCATTTCATTAGAATGAATTACAATACCGAGAGAGATTCCTATAGAGTAAATAAAAAATCAGATAAATCAACCACTTTTGGAGTTTTTTCGAAAATTCATTTTCGGAAAATTAATATATTTTATTCCCAAATCAAACATTTTTTAAAACAAACTGAAGTCCGTCAGATGATCTCCACCTACATATTTTACTCTGCGTGGTTTTCTGCCAAACAAATTCTATCATGAAGGAAGTTTAACAGATGTAGCACTTTCAGTCCAAAATATGTCTTGTTCCAATCAGGAAATTAAGCCAAATCTTGTTTATCGTATAAGACATATAATAAACCCATACTCCAAGGTTCTTTATGGATAGTTTTAGGCAATACGAGTATGAACATTTTTCTCATCGTCGTAAAAAAATCGAGGAAAAGGTTTAAAGCAATTTTTTTCCTCATAATATTTTCTACATTTGCGATTTACCCTGTTTAGGGTATTTCAATAAAGCAAATATTTCGGAATTAGCAGTTACCAAATAACACTGTTCATGGCTGAATGTAAGCATGCATTACGAAAGAGCATTTTACTACAGCGGTTATGTACAGAAAAACGCATAGTTAAACTCATCTCCTTGAATAATGGTGCCTTTTCGCTAAAGCACAAATCGCTTAGCTACTTAGCTAGGTCGAATTCAAACACTTCCAGGAGTAGAACTCAAATGGCTGGCAGTTAAAATCTCTAAATTTCTGCCATTTTCCTGTTGAATACCTGGGGAGTGCTGCTTCTAAAAATCGTGCCATGTAGGGCGCATCTTTCTTTCATCACCCTTAAGCCTTCCTATTCCTTTACACACACACGTACTCTATAACACTTATTCCCACACTATCACACGTGTTACGAGACCAGTCTGGCTTTAGGGGGAGGTGCTGGGTGGGGCGGTGCCATGCAGGAACGATACATGGAGAGGACACCGGAGCATACTCCCATAGGAGTAGTAACAGCGCCACGTTCCAGAATATACCATACACTACACTTTCGGGACTAATTACCTAATTAATTGTCGCTTTCGATATGAATAAGTACCAACTAACACATTCGGACTCGTTCACGCCGATAGATCACGATCATTCACTCTCACGGACACTCAAATCATCCTCCATTCACGCTCACTGCCACTCATACACGCTCACTGCCACTCATACTCGCTCACTGCCACTCATACTCGCTCACTGCCACTCATACACGCTCACTGCCACTCATACACGCTCACTGGCACTCATACACGCACTCTGGCACTCATACTCGCTCATGCCACTCATACTCCGCTCCACTGCCACTCATTACTCGCTCACTGCCAACTCATACTCGCTCACTGTCACTCATACTCGCTCACTGCCCTCATACTCGCCACTGCCACTTCATACTCCGACTCACTACCCCACTCATACTCAAACATCACTGCCACTCATACTCGGCTCACTGCCACTCATACTCGCTCACTGCCACTCATACTCGCTCACTGCGACTCATACACACTCACTGCCACTCATACTCTTTCACTGCCACTCATACACGCTCACTGCCACTCATTCACACACAATCACCCTTTCTCACACAGAATCTCTCGCACTCACTCTATGACCTCCACACCCACTGCCTGTGCGGCGAATGGCCGGGTGCGGTGCTCACCTCGGCGGCGATGCTGAGGTAGGGCACCTCGTCCAGGTCGAACTCCCAGCCGTAGCGGCAGGGCACGATGGCGCTCCTTGCCGCCTCGCGGCGCGCCGCCGCCGCCGCCTGCGGGCCCTCCTGCAGCAGCGCGCCGTAGTCGTCGATGGCGTACATGTGGCAGCTGTCGAACTTGCCGTTCTCCAGCTTCGGGATGGCCAGCTCCAACCTGCGCACGCAACGCCGAGATTATGTTGAGAGACCTTTCATTAAAATTAGTTTTAATTTTAAAATATCAACGATTTTTTCAGGGTACTTCGCACGATTTTTCTGTTTGTGAGTTTTTTTATAGAGTTATCGATATGTTGTGACGTTTATCGACGTATTGCCGACACCTTCAACCTGTGGGCACTTTTTGAGGTCTAACAATCGTTACTTGCTAATTTGTCACAGAAATATTTTGTGCAGGACACAGTAAGAAAGGCGTCAAGCAGTGAACTATTAAAATCACTTTCCGTTATAGAAAGGACGTATGCCAGTTCAGTGTGTTTGATGTATTTTCCCTAGTCTCTTGTTATCTAACTAAGGTTCCCGCTGCAAGATCACATGTGTCTTTGAAAGAGGCAAGAGACGTCAATTAACAGCGGGCAATAAGGATGCCGCTGCACACAGAGTGCGTTCTTGCACCAAGGAAATGCGGAAGGACAAGGCAAGCAGCAGCGTCTTGGTGAACTGATGGACGTCTACCAGAAGGAATCAAACAGGAATGCGATGAACAATGTCCTTTCGTCACATCCATCTTGAAGGACATAAATGGAACTAGACGCACCCTGGTTGTCAGTATTTTATTCTAAGTCCATTGCATGAGTAATTTCATTCGAACACAACAGCTTATGAAAATTATATATTATTATCTAATATATTTTTCTTACTTCAAAATAAACATTGAAGGTCTTCAATTTTTAGTTGCAGATTCTTTTATTGAATATATTTGGAATATTTCAAAGAAAGTATATCCCTTAGACCTGAAACGTTTCTTAAAAGAATCTCTAAAAATAAAGATTGAAAATCAGAGGAATTTTGAATTAATATTTCACGAAATGTGCAAACATTTCAATACAGTGAAAATAGGAAAATATGAAATCCTTGAGCGATAAGTTAATAATGAATGAGACACATTATGTGGTTTAAAATATTTCCATTCAAAAGAATATGTTAAATAATAAATAATTCAATGCCACCAATAATATCATAATTCAAAAATAATTATTTTCTCTTGGGTTCCATGTCTGAAATTGGAATGATTTCTGAATTCATAGTTGGAATGACGAACAATAGTTTATACGGTGTTATGAAAAAGCAAATACGGAAATAAAATACATAGAAACAAAAGCAGATAGTTTTACAATCGTTCTTATCTGGTTATAAAATGCCTACTGGATATCAAATTCATATGCACAAGAAAGCTCGTATGTGAAAGGGTGACACTGCTATTTGTCTTTCCGTTTGTAGCATCTTCGTAAACTTCTTCCCAAAACCAGTCACGAATGGTCTTTTTGACCAGCCAATTTCTGCACAGGGATGAATGAACATATGATGTTAAAATCAGAGCTGGAAAAATTAACAGCTCCCCTAAACGAGAAACCTTCTATTGCCCATAACAAAAGGAAAACAAAGCTTTGATGTTTTATTGTGGAATGAACTAGGCGCAACTAGTGTAATTTTATTGCTATTTTTTTTTAGATTTATCCCCTACCATTTTATATTTTCATTTAATTAATTTCTTCCTTGCCACACCGGCATTTCCGTCCATACATGGGCAGCGCGCGCCTAGGTATTGCAGGCACTCGGCGAACGTGAAGCCGACTGTCGCCACATTGCCCGGCGCGCGACTTCAGCTCCATCCGCAAGGCAACTCCTCGGAGCAGAAGTTCAAGCCCCGAATAGGAGCGTAATTACAGTGAGAACGCAGCGATGGGGTGGCTTCGATTACTCCTCTCTTTGAACTGATTGATTGATTGTTAACGATTCCGGGCGCGTCTACTACTAAGGTCATCAGTTCCGTAAGTGTAGTGTATGTTTTTGTTCGGGAGGTAGAGGGGGTCTTCCCCCGCTGAATGGCGAGATCCGGCGACGACCTACCGTCGGATAGCAGGGTTTTCCCCAACCAGGTATCTCCCACGAGCGGGCACCACCAAGGTCTAAGCCTCCGACCGATCCCCCGGCATGTATAGTGCATTTTCATTTCTTTTACATTCTCTTTTTATTGGCATTGCAAGTTAAACAGATCAGTACTATAGTAGTGTACTTTTACATAAGTATTTCGTGGCGAATTACAACCTTATAAACCAAGTTAATTCTAAAACCAACTACTCATGGTAATGAGGCTATAGTGTAGTGTAGTGCATGTTAGTGTATGTATGTGTAAGGGGTGAGAGTAGGGCAAAGAAGAGGTAGGAAAGATCGCGCGTGGTCTGTGGCCCGTTTTTTAGGGTACTGCTCCGGCATTCGCCTGGTGTTGATCGGAAAAACCACGATCTGAGCGCCCGGCCTCTAGAATTCTTCTCCTGACAGCGACTGAATTCGACGCAGCTGGCTTTCATACAGAGAATCCTGCCACCGTCGAGAGTCGAACCTAGGACCTCGCGGTCAGAGGAATTGCAGTAACATCAGGTGTTGCCCTGAGCCATCTCTCCTGGTCTCTACTTGAAAATAGACTTTGAAATAATTGAGGGGTTCAGCCTGCAGTTGAGAAACATAAATGTTCCCGAAACGTCGCAGAAGAAACTTTGGGGATTGACAAAAAAAATGCGATTCTGAGTCATTTAAAAATGTTTTTTAAACCACTATCTGTCAAAAAGCTACGGCCTAATTCTTCGAATCTAATTAAGGGGTTTCTTACAAAAACTAAACAAGTCCAAAAATTCCATATTTTGAGATTTTTCATCAAGTTATTTTCTACAATTGACGATAACTGCTGGGACATTTCCTTTTGGCAAGTGCTAAACACATTGAAAGATATGGGGGGGGGGGAATCATAAATGAATTACTATGCACTTCTACGATATGAAGTTTTTGGTGTTTCCTGAAAAATCTCGGATTTGGATTAGCTTGGCTTTTGTAAGAAACCCTTCAATTAAATATATGTTTCAAGTTGATAAATTTTCAGGGAATTTATTTAACAATGTGATTACAAAACGTTTGAATATTAAATATATACGGTATTCCATTATTTTATATTAAATGAAATATTATTTTAAACATTGTTTCCAACTTAAAATTCAAACTATTTTAATAGATAAACTAGTAGTTCAAATATTTATGAATTAAACTGTATACTGAATCTAATCTAGAAATGAGTTATCCTAAATAACATCTTCACTTAAATCTTATTCCGTTTAATTTTTTTTAAAACTCTCTCTTAAATATTTTTGAAGTAGATTCCGAGATGTATTTATTTATGTTTCTTTTATTTAAGATGTATTTATTTGTTTCATTTAGATTGTTTTATTTAGTCTGTATTGACGACGGGAACCCTTTAAATCCTAAAGTTATTTAGGCCCATGAGTGACCACCTAAAGAGTAGATGCGCTTTGTCCATTTTAATTCCACATGGAAGGGTCGGGGACTCGATCTGATGACCCCGGGATGGTTGGAGGTAGCTATTACTTCTACTTGTGTAGATGGAGCCAGTACTTCCTGGAAGATTCCAAGAATCTATTGCCTGTGAACGATAATAAAATACACCTCTGACATTTTATAGTGGAATGATCCGCACGCAATTACTTGTTATTGTACTTACTTAGTGAGTTTTTAGTTTTATCCCCTAACATTTATATTTTCATTTAATTAATTTCTTTGAAGTGGCCAAACAAAATAGCGGATCAATTTGGTACACTTCAATTCACATTGAGTCACTGCCAATAAAGAAATTTGTAAATTCGTAAATTGTTTCTTGTCAATTTACAAGTTTTGTTTAAGAGTGCATTTTATCAAATATTTCATCAAAATCATGAAATTTGATTTGTATATTAATTAAAACGATATTCTTAGGTATCAAATGATTTCACATTCGGCATGCTCCGTAAATCTTCTATTGACAATTTTCCTCTCTTTTGTCCTCATTACTCATGCGCACTCGAGTGGAAGTCATTCAAGGGGCTCGCATCCTTTCTCTTCTCAACGTCTCATGAACCGTTAAGTCGTCGGATTGAGTTTCGGAACTCTAACAAAATTATCTTTACTCCGTTTTAATACAATGTCGACATTTCATGCCCAATCCTCAGTAATGCTTCATTTCTTACAGATATATTAAAAAAGACAGAGATGGAGATAAAACAGTAACAGCAGAGAGTGACCTTCGTGTATCAGTGAGAGCATTTGACCAGGATGTAGGGCGTGGTCTTAAATTATATAACATGAGAATGGAGGTGGCCAACCTCAATGCAACATAATTACAGTTGTCATTTAATTCTTTTTTATTGTTACCCCAACGGTGACGTCATCTTCCCATTGCTCCTAACTAAGCCACGGCACTCAACTACACTACACAGTAGGTAGAAATCCATTAGTTGGAGTATTGAATGTGAATTTTTTATTGTTTATTCTTATTGAGAAAATAATATTAATATCCTTGTGATCCTTGTGTATAACACGTAAATTAACTTCGTATCCAGCTACCTACAAACATGTATTTCAACTTAAATGGTAGTTCAAACTAATAACTAGATTAAGTATAGAAGTGATGGATTATGTTAGGTATTTTAGTCAGTTCCTTAGCATGACAAAATAATCCTTATTCTCTGCAGTAATGACAATTGCAGATAAATGTTGATATTAAAGAATGTTTGTGTGATTTTGGAATTTTAGAAATGGGTCATCGTAGTCAGTGACAATGCCCAAAAGTAATAAATAAGGAACAGATATGGTAATATTTAGATGAAAAATAACGATGATTAAAAGTACGCTGTTGTATTGTCATGCGATATGTATTTCAAGTGTAATGAATGCGTCTAAAACCTATATTGTATTAATGAGACTAAAAAATGTGCATTCCAGTTTCTCGGCTTCGTTTGTTATTAGTTTTGGTGAAAGCGTCTGTACAACTCTTCAACATGCAGATGCTTCTTTGCAAAGTTTCTCTGTTCCTTCAGGCTTTTTTTTGTCACCTCTGAGATAAGAACTGACGAAACAAGAAAACATTTCTCGTTTGAGTTGTCATCTATCGAT